TATATATATATATTATAAAAGAAAAAGAAAATGAAGTTTCCAAATTTCATTTAACACAAGCGCTTTCTGGATTTCATAATATCCATCTTCAGGTGTACATAAATTGAACTGATTGTTTTGCTTAGTAAATTATGAAATCCAGAAAGCGCTTGTGTTAAATGAAATTTGGAAACTTCATTTTCTTTTTCTTTTATAATTATTTTCACCTGTGTGACATCGACTGTGAACTATTTTCTATATATATATATATATATATATATATATATATATATATATATATATATATATATATATATATATATATATATATATATATATATATATATATATATCCAAAGTCTCTTTTTGTCAATACAATAAAAAACTTTAAAACACTTTTCGAAATATTTCAGCCGTGTCACCGGCCTTCATCAGTCGTGTTTATTTAAATGCATAGCAACTCAACAGTATTATGACGTCACAATGAACATAGAAATTGAGAGGCAACGTCATGCATTAAAATTGCGCCAAAAACATCTGAAAATATTGTGAGAGCAAAAATTGTACTTGTGTATCAAAATTTTTATCATACAGAATAAAATACTAGAATACGGGGTATATTAAAAAGATGATTTTAAAGTATATATAAAAGTATATCTGTAAAAATAAGTATACAATGTCACACAAATGTTCATAAATCCAATTCAAAGACAGAAGTGTTCCCTTTTGTTAATACCAAATGGTATATAAGTGTTCAACTTTTTCTTCCAAAGATTTTCTCTATATTTGCGGTAAATGTCATTCTTATACAGTTTTTCAATGCCTATTATATTATAATCTTCTACTGTATGTACATCTGAATTAAAATGAGTAGCCACAGGATCATTTGTTTCTCTTCTAATTAAAGACAAATTCAACACATGTCTTTGATATAAAATATCACCAGTTTCTCCCACATACACTATTTTGTCACACTTTTTACAAAAAATTCCATAAACAACATTCCTTGATTTACAATTAATATAATTTTTGACTTGAAAAGTGCATCCGTTATTATCTTCAAACTGGCTGGTTTTCACAACAAATTTACACAAAATACATTTTTTAGCACCACATGGCTCACATAAATTTCCTTTTTTAAAAAATAAATTGTTGTGTTTTTTATACACTAAAATGTCTTTCAAATTTTTGTCTCTTTTATAGGCAACGATTGGGGTCTTTTTGAACGCGAGTTTCAGGCGATCGGAATTTTCAAGAATTTTTTGTCTTTTCTTCAAAATGTTATGAATATTCGGTAATCCTTTTGAATAGGTCAACACAAGGGGAACACGGTCACATCGCGTTTTATTTTTTCTATAATTTAGTAGATCCGAGCGATTGAGTTTGTCAACTTTCGTAAGTTGTTTTTCTACTTCGTTGCTAGAATATCCTCGTTTTCGCAAGTTCTTTTTCACTTTATCACGTTGGCTTTGATAGTTTTCCTCTGTGGAGCAAATACGACGTGCTCTAAGACCAAGGCCGTACGGAATTGAACTTTTTGTAGATTCGGGATGGCTGGAGGTTTTGTTAAGGTACATATGTTTGTCAGTTGGTTTGCTGTAAAGATCTGTTGTGAGAAATCCGTTATCCAGAGAAATAGAAACATCAAGGAAGTCTATTTTTGTTTTTGAAAAACGCAGGTCAAGCTGAATGTTGGGGTGAATATTATTTGCAGTCATATGGAAATCATGTAGTTCTTCTTCTGTCCCCGTCCAGATCCCAAAAATATCGTCAATGTATCTTAGATAAAAAAGAGGTTGTTGTTTACAAATCGCCAAAAGAATATTTTCCCATTCCCCCATGTATACACATGCATAGTTTCGTCCCAGTTTAGATCCTATAGCAGTACCTTCGGTTTGGATATAATGTTTATTGTTGAAACTAAAATTATTGTTATCCAGGACAGCATCCATCATTTCTAGAATACTGTCAGTATCTACTTCTTTTTTCTGTCGTTCTTCTAGAATCCTTTTAATTACTTCCCTTGCTTCCTTCCTTGGTATACTAGGATACAGTGATTTAACATCCATGCAAAATAATAAAGAAGAATTCGGCAACGGTTGATTCAATGTTGAGAGTTTCCTCAAGAAATCCGTGGTGTCCTGTATGTAACTTTTAAGTGATTTGTTTGCATCCTCGAGCTGTAATTCAACATACTCTGCTAGTTTTTCTGTGGGATGTTGACGGCCATTTACTATAGTTCTCAGCGGGTGATTTTTCTTGTGTACTTTTGGATTGGCCTGTAGTTTACCGGAAGAAATTTCTGTCGGTAAAAGGTAGTGTCGTAGCTCTGTCGAGATAGATCCTCTTTTATGCATGTTATTCACTAACTTTTTTATTTTGTTAGTTATTTGTTGAGATCTGTCTTCTTTTACTTCACTGTAGGATGAGCTATTCAGCATTTCGTTTTCCACTTGATCAACGTATTTATCTGTATCCATAACAACGACTCCTGATCCTTTGTCTGCTGGTCTAATGATAATATTTGGATCCTCTAGAAGCTCTCTCATAGCACTTTCCTCTGAGATTGTAATATTGCTCGAAAAATTTCTACTTAATCCCCTAATTACATCTTCCTTAACTTGTCTAATGTATTCATCAAGCCATTTGTCCCTCCCCTCTTCTGGTGTCCACTTTGAATTTGATTTCTTTTTCTCATACTGTTCATCTGTATCTGAAGATTCGTCATCTTCCTCATTAAAAAAGAATTCCCGCAGTCGCATTCTACGTTCCCATGTTTGCAGGTCTGTTAATAACTGTGTGAAATCAATATTCTTTTTAGTAGGTACAAATTTTAGTCCTTTTTTAAGTAAGCTTAACTGCGCGTTTGTTAGTTTTTTTGAAGACATATTGATCACATCCTTATCTGAACATGTACTATTATCAGGCATTACCATAGTTTCATTGTTCCCATCCTTTTCCTCCGAATCCACGTTGTGCATTTTAGAATCTTCCGATAATAGATCATCTGTTGCTTCAGAATTAGATGCAAAGCAATTGCACGGGCGATGTGAGGTTTTGATGAAATTAAAATGATTTGAGAAGTAATTTAAACAAATGAAATCTTTTTTATGATCGCATTCCTCCGCATTCGGGTACTTTTGCCATTGGGATCGGTTATTTGAATTTGATTTTACTTTGAATTTGAATTTGAATTTGAATTTTCAACTATAAACATTATATCCAAACCGAAGGTACTGCTATAGGATCTAAACTGGGACGAAACTATGCATGTGTATACATGGGGGAATGGGAAAATATTCTTTTGGCGATTTGTAAACAACAACCTCTTTTTTATCTAAGATACATTGACGATATTTTTGGGATCTGGACGGGGACAGAAGAAGAACTACATGATTTCCATATGACTGCAAATAATATTCACCCCAACATTCAGCTTGACCTGCGTTTTTCAAAAACAAAAATAGACTTCCTTGATGTTTCTATTTCTCTGGATAACGGATTTCTCACAACAGATCTTTACAGCAAACCAACTGACAAACATATGTACCTTAACAAAACCTCCAGCCATCCCGAATCTACAAAAAGTTCAATTCCGTACGGCCTTGGTCTTAGAGCACGTCGTATTTGCTCCACAGAGGAAAACTATCAAAGCCAACGTGATAAAGTGAAAAAGAACTTGCGAAAACGAGGATATTCTAGCAACGAAGTAGAAAAACAACTTACGAAAGTTGACAAACTCAATCGCTCGGATCTACTAAATTATAGAAAAAATAAAACGCGATGTGACCGTGTTCCCCTTGTGTTGACCTATTCAAAAGGATTACCGAATATTCATAACATTTTGAAGAAAAGACAAAAAATTCTTGAAAATTCCGATCGCCTGAAACTCGCGTTCAAAAAGACCCCAATCGTTGCCTATAAAAGAGACAAAAATTTGAAAGACATTTTAGTGTATAAAAAACACAACAATTTATTTTTTAAAAAAGGAAATTTATGTGAGCCATGTGGTGCTAAAAAATGTATTTTGTGTAAATTTGTTGTGAAAACCAGCCAGTTTGAAGATAATAACGGATGCACTTTTCAAGTCAAAAATTATATTAATTGTAAATCAAGGAATGTTGTTTATGGAATTTTTTGTAAAAAGTGTGACAAAATAGTGTATGTGGGAGAAACTGGTGATATTTTATATCAAAGACATGTGTTGAATTTGTCTTTAATTAGAAGAGAAACAAATGATCCTGTGGCTACTCATTTTAATTCAGATGTACATACAGTAGAAGATTATAATATAATAGGCATTGAAAAACTGTATAAGAATGACATTTACCGCAAATATAGAGAAAATCTTTGGAAGAAAAAGTTGAACACTTATATACCATTTGGTATTAACAAAAGGGAACACTTCTGTCTTTGAATTGGATTTATGAACATTTGTGTGACATTGTATACTTATTTTTACAGATATACTTTTATATATACTTTAAAATCATCTTTTTAATATACCCCGTATTCTAGTATTTTATTCTGTATGATAAAAATTTTGATACACAAGTACAATTTTTGCTCTCACAATATTTTCAGATGTTTTTGGCGCAATTTTAATGCATGACGTTGCCTCTCAATTTCTATGTTCATTGTGACGTCATAATACTGTTGAGTTGCTATGCATTTAAATAAACACGACTGATGAAGGCCGGTGACACGGCTGAAATATTTCGAAAAGTGTTTTAAAGTTTTTTATTATATATATATATATATTGAAACAGAAAAAAATCCACAGTGCTCGGTAGTTTACAGGTAAATGTTTTTAAAAAAGAAACACGAAAACCTTTAGTTTAGCTTAAGCGCTTTCATTTCAAATCTTCAGAAGCTTTATAATACGTAACATAGCAACATAACGTCATAACGTCATAATAAGCGGAACATTACATACAAACGTGTATTGTGACGTCATAGTCAAACTTTGCGGGAAAACTGTAGAATGAAAATAATAAATACAATTTTTACAACGATTATGCTCAATTGTTCAGTCTAGGTTTGAACACATGTATAAAATGTTTTTCTTTCTCACGTCTCTGAATATCACTTTCACTTGAAAGTTTGTAAAAAGGAAATATAGTGAATTGTTTATTTCCACAAGTATCCAAATGTTCACTCAGAGGGATTTGCCGATATTCCGGAGAGTTAATATGTTGTCGGTGGACACGTACCCGGGCACGCAATTGATTGCTTGTTTCCCCGATATAAAATTCTTGGCATCCAGCACACGTTATTACATATATTACATTTTTAGTGGCACAAGACATGTTTGCATTGACTGTGAATTGTCTTCCATTAAAGTCATAAGTTGATCCTTCCATTATATGTGTACACGTCCCGCAACGCGCGTCTTCACACTTAGTCACTTTGTAACTATTCTTAAAATGGGACGAACACAGAATTCTTCTAAGATTTTTGGGCTGTCTTCTGCTGTTAATAAATTTTACATCTCTATATATTTGTTGTGTTGACCGGTCCGTTTTCAGAACGTTGTTAAGTTGGTGTACTACGGAGGTCAAATTATGATTCCTTGGATTGTGGGTATGCACAAACGGAATTATATCCGTTTTATTTTCCTGGGTATTTGTAGACAGTAATTCTGACCGTTCATATCCTTTGGCTTTCAATATCCCGTTATCTATCAGGTTTTGAGGATATCCCTGTTTTAAAAGGTATAACTTGAGTTCTTTCAGTCGGATATCTCTGGTGTTTTCGTCACTAACGATAGCACATAAACGTCTAGCCAGATTGTATGGAATTGCTGTTTTTGTGTGATGAGGGTGACAGGATCCAAAATGTAAATACTGGTGGGTGTCAGTTGATTTGTAGAAAATATCCGTTGAAAGTTTGGTATCTTCTTTAATGACAAGAACGTCAAGGAAAGGTAATTCCATATCGCTGCTTTCCATGGTAAATTTAATGTTGGAATCTAAGTCGTTTAATAATTGGTGGAAAATTGATAATCTCTCAATGTTGTCATTCCACCGAATGAAGCAGTCATCTAAAAATCGTTTCCACTTTGATGTTATAGCTTCAGCGTCCTCTTCTCCCCATAGAGTGACAAGTCGTTGATGGAGTTTTTGCTCGAGGTATCCCAAAGTTAAGGTGGCGTACGTGGGAGCCACTTTTGTTCCCATCGCTGTTCCTTTGGTTTGAATAAAATGCTCTATTCCGAAGGCAAATGTATTGTTTTGAAGTATAATTCTTAATCCTTCTAAGATGAATTCTTGCTCAAAACGATCCTGTAGTAAGTTTGGGTATCTATCAATCCAGTATTTAACCGCTTTTATACCCAAGTCCACGGGTATATTTGTGTATAAATTCACGACGTCGAATGACACGAGTTTCGTATTAGGTTGAATATGTTCTGGTAGGTGGTTGATAAAATCTATATCATCTCTTATAAAACTAGGAACCTTTTCACAATAAGGCTTTAATAAAATGTCTAACAAGTGACTCAGTCTTTGAGTTGAACAATTAGGCCCCCCTACGATTGGCCGAAAAGAGAGATCTTCGGGATTTAGACAGCAAATATATTCTCCTCTCTGAGCCTGTATGGCGTTTTTGATTTCTGATGACTTGTGTACTTTTGGTAATCCGTAAAATTGACTCTCTTTTGTTTCAAAGTTTGTGAGATAGTCTTTCTCCTTAGCAGTTATATCTCCCGAGGATGGCCCACTGACAAGTTGTTTTATCTTTGCTAAAGTTTTTGTCTCGTGATTTGCATTAATACTCCCATAGTAGTTAGGGTCCTGTAGCATATTCAAAATCTTACGTTCGTAATATGTTTTATTCATGATGACTACTCCGCCTCCTTTGTCGGCTTCTTTGATAACGATATTTTCGTCATTATTTTTAAAAACGGAATGAAGTTTGACGTTAAATCTTCTATGACGTGTAAATCTAAAAACCTTATATACTGTATGACGTGTCCTACATGTGAGGAAAATTATATAGGACAAACCGGAACCAAATTAGCCGATCGTGTTCGCGTGCACAAACAACAGATTAAGGATCCGACCATACGAAACACGCAATGTAGTGAACACTTTGATTCTTGTGGCAAAGGACATTTTTATATATTTCCTTTTTACAAAATAAAAGAGGAAAATGAACAATTACGGAAAGCCAAAGAACAATATTTTATAAATCTGTTTAAACCAAAATTGAACTGCTAAAAGGAATTTATATCAAATTATTTTATTATGTACATTTTATATAAAATGTCTCCATTATTGTACATTTATAATAGGCGCTTAACTTTGATCAGATGAACTGTAAAACTTTATCTGTGCGCCTCATTTAACTGTGATTATTATTACGTCACAACCATTATGTTTAACGTTGCCTACATAACGTCACGAGAATGACGTCATAATGTAACTTGTTTACAATTTCAAATCTACTGATGAGCCCGCATGGGGCGAAAGCGCTTTAGATAAAAGTTTGAGTTTATCATTTGAATTTGGATTTTATTTTATCCCTATACCAAGAAAAAATAATTTTTTGATTGTATATGTATATATATATATATATATATATATATATATATATATATATATATATATATATATATATATATATATATATATATATATATATATATATATATATATATATATATATATATATATATATATATATATATATATATATATATATATATATATATAATAAAAAACTTTAAAACACTTTTCGAAATATTTCAGCCGTGTCACCGGCCTTCATCAGTCGCGTTTATATATATATATATATATATATATATATACGTTCTGTTATTTTTTATTCTGTTATTTTTTTATCAAACTTCTGGATTAAATATATATATATATGTAAGACTCCAAAGTCCGATGGTGACGCCAAAGTCCGATGGTCTCGCCAAACCCCGATGGTCTGCGCCAAACCCCGATGGCTCATTGTCTTTACGGGCGCCAAAGTCCGATGGCCACGCCAAAGTCCGATGGCTCGTTTCCTATGAGACGCGCGACGCTAAAGTGCGATGGTCTGACACGCCAAAGTCCGATGGTGAGGATGAACAATCAACGTTTATGACGTCACAATAATCCGACGTCAATCCTTGACGCCGTTGTCCTGCATTCAAAAACAATCATTTCTAAATTCGTCCTCGAATACAATTTTTATAATTGATTTTGCTTATTGCTTGCACATTTTAGAGTTATTAGGGTTAGTCCTGGCACACCACTCGATTGATTAGGGTTAGTCCTTGCATTGCACAACCAGAGTGAATTAGGGTTAGTCCTCGCACACAAGTCGAGTGATCAGGGTTAGTCTCAAGATATTTAGGTTACTGCTAATACACACTTTTCGAGCGTTAGTCTCGCACCTGCCTGAGAGATAAGGGTTAGTTTTCGCATTTATTTAATATTTATACTTATTCTAAAGACCTTTGCATGTCCCGGCATTGAGGTTTGGGTGCAGTGCTACTATGACGTCATAAACGTTAATTGTTTTCCGAACCGTCGGATTTTGGCGTGTCAGACCATCGGGCTTTGGCGTGACCATCGGACTTTGGAGTCCCATTGCACTTTGGAGTCCTACATATATATATATATATATATATATATATATATATATATATATATATATATATATATATATATATATAAAATAAAAAAATCACTACACCGAAATAAACTCAACCGGTTTCATTTTCAATCTTCAGGAGTTTAACAATACAATGCTAAGTTACACAAAATCAACATTCATATTGTGACATCATAAAGCACTAATACTTAGTCGCGCTTTAGCAAAGTTCATTATGACGTCTTGATAATACGTAAGTAAGTTATTACGGGAAATTCGATTTTTTATACAAATAGCACAGTTATATTATGCGGGTAAAAGAATATTTTTTAAACGAAATATAATTATGCTGCATTTAAAACAGGTTTATGTCTGTTTATAAAATGTTTTTCTTTAGTTTCACGTTCTTTTTCTGTAGTATCCCTTCGGAATTTGTAGAAAGGAAAAGCAGTAAAATTGGGGATTTTATTTTCGGCACAGTTTCTGATGTGTTCGCTTACGGCGGTACACTGGTATTTCGGTTCCCTAATTTGTTGTCGGTGTACGGTCATTCTGTGTCTCAGGGTGTCTCCTGTCTGGCCGATATAATTTTCACCACAACCGGTGTAACGACGAAAAGTGACCCCCGTAGAATACTGACCGGGAGTCATTTTTCTACGTAGAAATTTGACCCCCTGGTCAATATTCTACGTAGAAAATTGACCCACTTTTCTGTAGAAATTATGGCCCTGGGGTCGTTTTTCTCCGTGTGCATTGTAGAAAAATGACCCCGTAGGATAATGACCCCTTGTCATTTTTTGATGCAAAAACATTCGGTTTGGTGGGAAAATTCTTGTTTGGTGAATGTATGACGATGACGGGTAATATAAAGCTGCCTTATGCTTTGAAGTGTCTTTTTAGGGAGCTTCTAAGCTTAGATAATGAAATCAAAGCTATACAATACCTTTTATTAGCTCACCTGAGCCGAAGGCTCAAGTGAGCTTTTCTGATCAAAATTTGTCCTTCGTCTGTCGTTGTCGTCGTTGTCGTTGTAAACTTTTCACATTTTCATCCTCAGGTAGTGTAGATTCAAGTTTGTTCAAATCATGACCCCCCGGGCAAGGATGGGGCCAAAATGGCCTACCCAAGTCTTACATAGGAATATATAGGAAAAATCTTTAAAAATCTTCTTCTCCAGAACCACTAGGCTAGGAAAGATGAAAGTCATGTGGAATCATCCTCAGGTAGTGTAGATTCAAGTTTGTTCAAATCATGACCCCCGGGGCAAGGGTGGGGATAAAATGGCCGACCCAAATTTTACATAAGAATATATAGGAAAAATCTTTAAAAATCTTCTTCTCCAGAACCACTGGGCCAGAAAAGATGAAATTCTTGTGGAATCATCCTCAGGAAGTGTAGATTCAAATTTGTTCAAATCATGACCCCTGGGGCAAGGGTGGGGCCAAAATGGCCGACCCAAGTTTTACATAGGAATATATAGGAAAAATCTTTAAAAATCTTCTTCTGTAGGACCACTGGGCCAGGAAAGATGAAACTTATGTGGAGTCATCCTCAGGTAGTGTAGATTCAAGTTTGTTCAAATCATGACCCCCCGGGCAAGGATGGGGCCAAAATGGCCTACCCAAGTCTTACATAGGAATATATAGGAAAAATCTTTAAAAATCTTCTTCTCCAGAACCACTAGGCTAGGAAAGATGAAAGTCATGTGGAATCATCCTCAGGTAGTGTAGATTCAAGTTTGTTCAAATCATGACCCCCGGGGCAAGGGTGGGGCCAAAATGGCCGACCCAAATTTTACATAAGAATATATAGGAAAAATCTTTAAAAATCTTCTTCTCCAGAACCACTGGGCCAGAAAAGATGAAATTCTTGTGGAATCATCCTCAGGAAGTGTAGATTCAAATTTGTTCAAATCATGACCCCTGGGGCAAGGGTGGGGCCAAAATGGCCGACCCAAGTTTTACATAGGAATATATAGGAAAAATCTTTAAGAATCTTCTTCTGTAGGACCACTGGGCCAGGAAAGATGAAACTTATGTGGAGTCATCCTCAGGTAGTGTAGATTCAAGTTTGTTCAAATCATGACCCCCGGGGCAAGGGTGGGGCCAAAATGGCCGACCCAAATTTTACATAGGAATATATAGGAAAAATCTTTAAAAATCTTCTTCTCAAGAACCACTAGGACAGAAAAGATGAAACTCATATGGAATCATCCTCAGGTAGTGTACATTCGAGTTTGTTCAAATCATGACCCCCGGGGCAAGGGTGGGGCCAAAATGGTCGACCCAATTTTTTCATGGGAATATATAGGAAAAATCTTTAAAAATCATATTCTCCAGAACCACTGAGCCAGGAAAGATGAAACTCAGGTGGAATCATCCTCAGGTAGTGTAGATTGAAGTTTGTTCAAATCATGAACCCTGGGGCAAGGATGGGGCCAAAATGGTAAAACCCAAGTTTTACGTAGGGATATATATGGGAATATATGGGAAACCTTTTAAAATCTTCTTTTCAAGTACTTCAAAGCTATGATTAGTGATACCCGGGGTATTTATATGGAAGCATCCTCAGGTAGTGTAGATTCTAGTTAGTTCAAATGATGAACGCCTGGAAGGGGGGAGTAAATTCAAGCCCTATGTGCTCAGGTGAGCGCTGTGGCCCCTGGGCCTCTTGTTAATTATACAAACTGTTTTATCCCCATTAAAGGAAATAATATTAAAATGTTCTAACTAAAAGCTGTTAGAGCAACGATACGAGCATTCAAAGAAACGTTTGTTTCATTTTGTGAAGTAAGTTTTCACAGTTGTCATTTTAATCTTTAAAAAATTTTATTTTCTATCTTCTGTCAGGAAAAAAGTTTCCATAATTAATTAATTATAAATCTCTTTGATTTTACCCCATATAATTATTTGCAATAATCAAAATAAAGTTTTATTTTTCAAAAGTTTAACGTTTAACGTTTTTGATCCCTACTTTTAAAATTTTGAAGAGGGGCGCTAGCTTAGAAAATTAGATCTTATAAAAATTCTATGAATCAATTTTCAATCTTCTCATAAAAATAGGGATGATTTAATTTGTAAAAATAAGTACGAAATTAAACTGCCTCTGACATATGGTACAAGGGAAACAATTAATGTGGTTAACTCAAAACCCGTAAAATGTCTTTTGTCGTTTGCTAGTTTCAACAAATCCTTAACAAAATGGGGGTGGTAGCATAAAACCTGATTAACTACAAAAAAGGGTGCGTGTCTTTCCTAAAATTGGCACATGTAGTATCGTTTTCCAAGTTCTACATGTATTTACATATAATGGTTTTAGAAGTTTTTTACCAATAGAAAAAAAAGCAAATGTTGAATGAGGAAAAAGTTGTTATTTCAATGTTATACTTAAACGAAGTTTCGGGGTTATATAGTGTTTTTACCTATCCGTCTGTCTGTTTATATATTTGTCCGCATAAATCATATCCTAGCTGCAGATCTGTAGCGTTATGGTTTTAACGCTACAGATCTGCAGCTAATCATATCCATATCCATTCACTCAGAAGTAATTTTTTGACAGTTTTTGAGAAAATTTAATATCATTATAGGAACATTCTCTATGTGTATGGTATTTCCTGTATATACATCTACATGGAAAAAATTAGTACTTTATACAAGGTAGGTAAAAAGTGTGTATCTTAAAGCAGAGTGCATAACCCTGCTCCTTCAACTGGTGTTGGAATTTCATAAATATTATGGATTTTGATGAAATTTACGACAGAAAATGGGCCAGATATGAAAAAGAAGACGTTGACACTTTGTCAGAATGGATTAAATGTATCAGATCCATGTTTAAGTCGCGCATTAAAAGACTGAGGAGCAATATGAAAACCATCTATCCTTCTTTGTTCAATAATCCAGAAGTGAAAAAGAATGAGATAAATTATACGATCAGTACGTACTGGTTCCTGCCGACAAAGCAGGTAACGATATTGTCTTTGTTTATAAGGCTCATTATACAAGTTGTATTTTAGAAGAACGTGGATTTAATTATACAAGTGGTAATCCTACTTATATTCATACTTCTCTTTCTGCGGAAGAAATTCTTCAAAATCGATGTCAGTTTTGAATATTTTTAATATTCCACAGAACCAAACTGAATTTAAACTAGTACCCTATATACTGGATTCCGAAACTTCATAAGAATCCTTACAAACGAAGATGTGGGTTCCAGTTAATGTTCAACCAAGCCTCTTTGGTTACATCTCAATAAGATATTGACAGAAATTAAGGAAAAACTTCAAGAGTACTGTGCAAAAATATACTCAAGAAGTGGTGTGAATCAGATGTGGATACTCAAAAAGTCCAAAAACCTCAGTTTTGGACATTTGAAATCACAAGATTTTACCAAAGTCAACAGTTTAAAACTTACGACTTTTCAACTTTATACACAATCACTCCCTACAATAAACTAAAGTCCAGGCTTTTCGATATTATTGACAGTTGCTTTTTCAGAAGAAATAAAACTCATAAATTTTCTTACTTGGTAATTGGTCATTTGCAAAATAATTTTGTTAAAACACACTCTGATTACGCGCCGAAGTACTGTGAAATTGACATCAAAAAGATGCCTGAGTTTCTGATTGAAAAAAAAAATCTATGTGCATGGTTTTTGGAGACCAAGTCTTCAAACAATCTATTGGAATTTCCATAGGAACTAATTGCGCTCCGTTATTAGCAGACCTATTTTTGTATTCAAATGAAGCAGAATTTGTGCAAGATCTTATGCATGAAAAGAAGAAAACACTTGCTGTATACTTCAACTCGACATTTCGATAATATCTATTATATCGAAGATGTTTTGTAAATCAACAAAGGTAACTTCCATTCCTACGTCGATACGATATATCCTGAAGAGCTTGAGATAAAAAAAACTTAAGATATCACAGAGTCTGACACATCTGTTTCATACTTGGATATTTTAGTTGAAAAAGACGCTAATGGTTGTCTAACAACCAAGTTATATGATAAACGTGATGACTTTAACTTTCTCTCGTCAACTTCCCTAACTCATGCAGCAATAAATTTCTGATTGTTTTTAGTCCATTATTTCTACATTGAATTGACGACGGATATTTTCGTTATATCCCGATCATGACAATGATCACTCGGCGGGTGTGACAGGTCAGCAGGGAATGCTCACTCCTCCATGGCACCTGATCCCATCTCTGATGTTTCAGGCGTCCGTGTTTGCTCTGCCCTTATTTTAAATTGTTTTATGGACTTTGAAATTGAATACTGTTTGTTACCTCTATATCCTTCTTCCATACAGATGTTTATGTAAGTTTAAATATAAAGAGCTAAGGGACTTGAATTTATATAGTTAAAAAAAGTTGCTTTCTTGCTTCTATGCTATGTTTTTTTACTTGAAAAAATTTAAAGTTTATACTGGTAGTAATCAGAAAAACCTTTGAATGATTAAAAAAACTCCCAAAAATATAATATTAATTTATGCTCCTCAATAAATCAATATTCATTGGGGTTATACAAGCCAAAAATAAATCCATACCAGATACATTGATAGTGATGCTGCTTTTAAGATATGCAATTAAATATATAATGGAAAGAAATAAAATACCTAAAAAAAATTTCCTCCCAAATGCATTTGAAAGTATGAAAAATGTCAGGAGACGCGTATATAAGGTTTTATTGTATAAAAAAGTAGGGGGTCAAAATTCTATGGGGGTCATTTTTCAACGTGTGTGGAGTCGTAGAATTGCTGGTCTGGAATGTTTTTCTACAGTCGAAAAATGACCCTATTTGTCGTAGAATATTGACCCGGGGTCATTTTTCTATGTAGAAAAATGACCCCCTGGTCAATATTCTACGGGGGTCACTTTTCGTCGTTACACCGGCATCTTTTATTGTTTGGCCTAGCCAAATATTTTGGCAAAAATGTTTATTGAATGTTCTATAAAAATCGTATTAAAATGTTTCTTGCGCGCATGAATTCTGCGCAGTGTAATATCATCCGTCGTCAAGAAGTGTAGACTGTTGCTCTGCTGAAGGGCCTGCCAATTGAAAATTGTTTGATGCGTGCCTTTGTGGCATACAGGGTGTCCCAGAAAATATGTACACACAAAATTATGACGACATAACCAGGAAATGACATTGTGGAGTGTAATGAATGAATGGACAATATGTTGCACCAATAATAAGGTACACTTTATGTACTTGTATTTCTGGAGGAGCATGACTTTTTATTCTTGGTTTTCCTACATCACCCCGCACTATAACTGCATACTAGTATGTTGTGGAGGTATTGACCCGGCAATCGGTACCTCTCGATTAACCCAACATCGGTCAAAATGTCCACAGGATGTTTTATATCACGAAATACCCTCCAAAATCTCTTTTTGTGCATTATATCAATAACATCAAGAGCAAGAAGAGCAGCCATGATGAATATTTTTACTTACCATAGTAACAACGACTTATAGAACAACGAAACCTAGGACATGCGACAGACTCCGGGAGGTCGTAGACTAACGACCGAATATCGTCGTAACTCGCAAGTCTTATATCTTTGTAAAACGGTCGTATGTCGTAAGTTCGGTCGTACGACCAAGTATACGACTTACGACCTTATGTAAAACGGGCCCCTGGCATCATAAGTCAGCGGATAAAAGAGTTTTTAACAGATATTTCTCTACGAGAAACTTAGCGGGTTCCAGTATATGTTCAACCAAGCCTCTATCTTTACCCCTCTCTAAGATATTAACAGTAGTGATAGAGAAAATTCTTTCAAGAGTGGTGTGCAACAATATATTCAAGAATAGAGACTTCACTGTACGCCGGTGAAAGGCTTCAAATATAGACATATACTCAGTACCCAGGGCCATTATCGTGCCAACACCTACCGTGACACCCGACTTACGCTTTCAAAGTCATATCCGAAAGACCTGTAACTTTCACTTCTAATGCTGAGCGCTTGGCGAAGGAACAGTCACTACCTATGATTACGCCTTAAGTTTGACGCGGCGCCGCGAAGGAGAATCAAACCCCGACCTTCCGGATACAAAGTAAACGTTCTACCACCAGGCTACCGTGACCGGTAGAGACATTTGATATAGAATAAGATCACAAAATTTCGGAAGACTAAGTATGGAAATTGACATTTTCATACCCGATGTACTCGTATCAAGCGTTAAACAATAATAAAATGTATATTTTCTTTTCATAGAAGTAGCCAATTCAAAAGAATCAAGTATAGGAGGAATAATAGGTGGCACCTTCGGGGGAGTTATTTTGATAATACTTATCGTCTTGATATTTCTCAACAGAAAATATCAGATAAAATGTCATGGTAAGTATGTTTGTTGTTATGCATTTATTTCAATTCTTTAACAGGTCGAGGAAACTACCTTATATGGATATTGTTGTCATTGCGCACAAAGGTGCGCACAACACCTAATGGTCCAATCTAGTGAATGAGCCGAAAAGCATGATGGTCTACTACCTGTTTATTTTTATTACAAACACGTGGGTTAAGGCAAATTTAGGATGCGATTTCAAATGACTGCTGGAAAGTCAATTTACAATTTTTTGAAACGTGTATGAAAAAAATACGAAGAATAGGTACTAATTAAGAATTTCCATGCTCACATTAACAAACAAAGTCAGTTTTCCTTGATAAATAGTACTTTGAAATACCGCTCACACAGTCTCCACAAGTAAAAAAAAAGGACTCCAGTACTTGATAATCGTAAATTTGCCCTGTAACTGGCAGAATAAGTTGTTGCTCAGTTATTTGTTACTAGAAATTTTAAGTTCATGCATTTACAAAAAGGACTTAAAATGCACTTATTTTTATTGACCTCTATAATAATGCTCATGTGAATTGGTCATAGAACATCTTTTGAGTATCATACTGTACGTTTCGATGTAAACATTGTCAATATGTGAGCACACCTCATAGTTGGTTTATGTACCGATGAATAGCCACGTGAAATTGACTTTTCACTGACAATACAGCACGGGGAAAGTTGTAAACAAACGGACTTATACAATGGAGTGGGGAAAATCCTTATGTTTATCATTTTTAATCATTTGTATGTAAATGTGAGCATGGGATTAGTAGATAATAATGTACATATTATATTAAGCGAGTAAAATGCTTGAAAAAATGCATCACGTCTTTCCGAGAGCGATTTAAAAAAATTGGCTTTTCAAAACATACATGTAGTATTTTTTGTAGTAACCCATAATGCAACCCATTGAGCTGATTGGTCGATTAGTCAGTCACGTTGGTTCCTTACTTAACATGTAAATTTATTCCGACGTCACAGAAAATAGTTTCCTAGACCTGTTTAATATCAATTGTCTATTAACGCCTTAAATGGCGATTACGCATTTCTACGCACACCTGGCTTGAAAAACAAGTAAAGTGTGAAAAAACATTTATAACTTCGTTAATACTCCAAAAATCAGAATAAATCTTCTCCTGTTGGATTGAGAAAATAATTACAATAAAATATTATACAGAAATATTTGTTATTGATTGTACCAGTTTTTTGCTTGCTTGAGTTAAACTTTGCGCACTATTTGAGCGATTTTGCCAAATCAATGCATGGGTAACATATTATTTGTAAAAATTATAATTTCTGCTGATTACCTCTCAACCCTACCCCATCCCTCCTAAAAAGACATAATTGGTTTGTAAAAAAAAATCAACGTACATGCTCATAATTTTCAACACAACAATAAAATATTTTTGAATATATTTAACTAAGCCAAAAAAATAGAATGAAACTCATTCTTGAATAAATGGTAATTCCAGCATGATTATGGTGTATGGTAACTGAAATGATATTTTTATAATCATTTGCAGAAACTACGAAATACTTTATATCAGAAGATATATATATTTTGATACATTCAAAAATTACAAGAAACAGTGAAAAAATGCATAAAAACCTTTATATCAATTTGTCTATAAATGCTTAAATCTTTGCCATGGAAGGGGTTAAAGGGTTATAGAATTATTTAATCTTATTTTCAGAAAGAAAGCCAAAGCCAAGGTAAGAAAACGTACTAGTGAAGTTTTCTCAGTGTAAATAGAACAATATCAATATGTGATGGTTCATCTTATATATTATATCAATTCAATTTTAAAAACAAGGTCAGGCTTAGGTCATTGACATTTTCCTTGACAGTAAGAATCTTCAATCAAGCAATGCCTACATTTATTTTCTAAGACTAAATGTTTTTTTCAGCATAAAAAATTATCCAATAGGGCTTACATGTATAAAACAATATTTTCAAATAAAAAAAAAACACTTGAACTAAAATTGATATTGACCATTCTGAATTTTCTCTGTTTTAAATGTTCGGGAAAATAAGTTATTTTTCCGATATTAATACCTTTTTTTATTGATTTCACATACGGTTAAGTAGTCATATAAAGATAAAAAATTATATAATTATTATTTTTTTGATTTGATCGTGTAGTTATAAAAAAAAATCAATTTTTACTGACAGATGAAGATTTCAAAGCTATAAATGTGTTTTTTCCTTAGAAAAAATTTAATTTGATACATTTCAAAACTTAAGTTTATGGTTGTTTATATTATTCAATTAAGAAAATTCTTTTAGTATTTGATTCTTTCAATTTTTAATTCAATTCTTTGCTCTTTTTGAATTTTGAAATATAATTAGAAGAGATTCTCAGTAATACACTGCATTTCGGCAAAAAAATGTAGCCTCTGCTAGATTTCAAAATCAGTTGACCATTTCTATTCAATAATGTTCTATTATAAGAAGGAAAGAAATTTATGATATTTCAAATTCCTTACCTCTTAATATGATTAAATCGAGGGTGACAATATACAAATTACAATGCCACGAGCCCAACTGAAGATGACTACCCAGTACATGACATTTTTCAGTTCTAATTAAATACAATGCCTATGCCTATTTACGTGGACTTTTTTTTTAATGATTAATTTAGTTTTCATAAGTATTTTGACTTACATGAAATGAAAATGTCAGAAAAAAAATTAAAACAGTAATTTCCTACTCTTTATAGATACTGTCAAAGCACAGGTGTGACGTCCTAATTACCGATCCTCACTGGATAATTGGCATTGTAAACGAGGGATTTCGTTTTATAATTTTACCTTTGTTCCTAAAAACCAGTGGCAGATGTCAATACGCGGGGTGGCAATATAACGGATGTTTTAAACAGATGGAAATCCGTTCTTGGAGAATTCCTGACAATAGGGGCTAGAAATATAAAGGGGGAATATACCGAGTAGCACTGTAGTATGAAAAACGTCAGTCAGCATTTGCCTCAGTGAAAAATTGTATGGACAAGGTCATTGTCTCGACCATAGAACTTGATGACTTTAAACGAGGCTGCTGATATTCTTCTTTTATAACCTTGTTTCTTAATAATTTACCTCGGTTTAGAAATTGTTCATGCGTAGAGCATATCCAATCAACTGAGATATATAAACTCTGTATGCAGGTGATGAAGGTATATTGCTGCAGAAGTAAGGGAAGTTGACGATTGAAAAGTTAAAGTCATCACGTTTATCATAGAGCTTGGTTGTTAGATTATATAATTCACTTCTTTATCAAGTAAAATATTCAAATATGAAACAGATGTCAGACTCTGTGGTGTCCTTTATCTTAAGTTCACCAGGATATACGAGGGATGTCCCAAAATGTCGTAGACAGGGAATACAGTTATTTTCTCTTTGATGAATTAAATTTATTTTCTTCTCATAACAAAACGTTCCATTATATGATAATGTATTTCAAATTTCACAACGATATCAAATTTGATAAGGAAATTATGAAAAAATAAAGGAAGCATGTTAGTGTATATCGGCACACGAAAGCAAGCGCGATTTACGCCTCATATAACGTCATGATCTCTTTTTCTGCTTCACACGCGTCAGTAAACATTCAATAATTTTTTTTTAATGAATCACCACTCTTGACTAAGGGACTTATTTAAATTCACTACTGTCAGGTTTTTTGTTGGTTTTTTTTAAAAGCAGTCGAAATTTAGTCGAAAGATCGCCATACATTGTAGATGGCAGAGAATACACAATGTTTGGCGTCGTTCGTGGCCCAGATTGTTCCCCGTTGTCTGCGTACCTTAACAAAAAAGTACTCTACTTCTTACATGTTGTAACTAATTTTGGTATAGAGGAAAAACTCTCATTGAATTCCATGCCATTTAAAAATAACTTCCCTATTAAAATCTAGTATGCAATATCACTTCTGTACTTTTTGCCCGTATCTAATGTACACAAATCATATTCAAGACAATTTATTATATATCCATGCACCGGTTACGCGATTGACGACGTCATTTTCATCAAACACAATTCTAACAACACATTAAAAATCATGACACCAATCGTCTATTTCCAATGCTATTTATATGACATTTTGACATATAATTGAGATTTTGATTCTGATTTCACTGATGTAAATCTGACTTCAATGTTTTACATAGTACTAAAGAAATAAAAGCAAATGTAATAGTTATATTGGTAAAATATTCTGAATTTTGTTCGTGCACCGACAGACCTCATCAGCCCTCATATAAATCGTCCTAGTATTATCAATATGAAAGATATATATTTCAAAATCCACAATTTTTAAGAAAATTGAATACATGTATATTATGTCTATGCAAAATTTGGTTAGTATTGGTTGCATGTTTTAAAAGTTATAAACATTGTCTACGACTTTTTGGGACAACCCTCGTATCATATTAAGAATGGATATGGTTATTTAAGGAATCACTGTCTAGTTAGTAAAGTATGCCAGGGCATCAACGATAGTCGGAAACATGGGATAATTTGCATAACGGGTGAAGCGCGTTACGTATAAATTATCCCAAGTTTCCCACTAACGTTGATGTCCCTGGGATACTATGTAAACTACACAGTGATTCCTTATATTTCCATTTTGTTGTGAAATAAAATTGTGGATTTAGACTTTAAAAATGTAGACTAATAGATTTAAATTACATGAGGACTTCCATGCTAATTATGTTCCCCAAACGAAGTTGGGGAACATATTGTTTTTACTCTGTTTCTTATTATTATGTTCCCCAAACGAAGTTGGGGAACATATTGTTTTTACTCTGTTTCTTCTTATTATTATTATTATTATTATTATTCTTATTATTCTTTTTTCTTCTTATTTCTTCTCCGGTACTTTTTTGTCCGGAAGTGTTCTCAGAAACTGTTCACCAAACTAAGTTAAAACCTTTTTAGGGTTAATAGGTGTGTTGTGTAGATGTGCCGAACGAAGGTCATTTTGCGCGCATACGCATGCACGTGCGGGCGCGTGATATGAGTGAAATGACTGATATAATTAATATGGCCGTAACTTTTACATTTTTTGATGAAATGCTTTGAAACTCATTACATAAAGATATATTAATAGTGTTAATATCGTGACACTGTCAAATTAGCACGAACTCACGCGCATGCACGTGCGCTTCGCTCTGATTGGCTGAAACAAAATTCTTAATTTCTTTTTTGTTTTTTGACGAAATTGTTTGAAATTTAAAACATAGCCATGCATTAGGATATTCTACAATATGATATAGAAAAATTTTCATGAAATCACGCGCATGCACGTCTGCTGCAATCTGATTGGCTGAAACTTTAAATGGCTATATCTCCTTTGTTTTTTGACAAAAAACTTTGAAATTCAAAACAAGGTCAATCATTAGGATATCCTACAATATGATATAAAGAAATTTTCATGAAATCACACGATTCCACGTGCGCTGCAATCTGATTGGCTGAAACTTTAAATGGCTATATCTCCTTTGTTTTTTTGACGAAATGGTTTGAAATTTAATACATAGGCGTGCGTTAAGATATCCTACAATACGGCATAGAAAAATTTACATGAAATCACACGATTGCAAGTGTGCTGCAATCTGATTGGCTAAAACTTTAAATGGCGATATCTCCTTTGTTTTTTGACGAAATGGTTTGAAATTTAAAACATAGTCATGCATTAGGATATCCTACAATATAGTATAGAAAAAATTTCATGAAATCAAACGATTGCACATGCGCTGCAATCTGATTGGCTTAAACTTTAAATAGCTATAACTCCCTTGGTTTTCATCCAAACAGGATGGGATTTAAAAGATAGATATAAGGAACACCTGCACAAGCACACAGTTTGTCTTTTTTAATGAAGCTTACAGGGAATATGGCATCAAAAGGTAGTTGAGGAGCGTTTGGGGAACATCTGTAACGGTCCCCGTTACAATTAGCACTAGTTATTATGTTCCCCAAACGAAGTTGGGGAACATATTGTTTTTACTCTGTTTCTTATTATTATTATTATTATTATTTTTCTTCTCGGGAAAATTTTGTCCGCGAATGATCTTGTAAAGTATACATCCGATTAAGGGGAAACCTTTTTAGGGTAAGTAGGCATGTTATGTAGATTTGCGGAACGAAGGTCATTTTGCGCGCACGTGCTTGCAAGAGCGCGCACGTGCAACACGTGAAATGACCAATATACTTAAAATTGTCATAACTTTTACATTTTTCGATGTAATGCTTTGATATTTAGAATATATAGACATATTATAAATGTAGATAAGATGACATGGTCAACATGCCATTTTGTGTGCACGTGCTTGCAAGAGCGCGCAAGAGCAACACGTGAAATGACCGATTTAATTGATATAGGAGTAATTTTTTACCTTTTTGATTAAATGCTTTGAAACTCATAATATAAGGATATAGAAGTAGCATAGACAATATGACATGGCCAAAATAGCAAGATCTCACGCGCATGCACGTGCGCTTCGCTCTGATTGGCTGAAACTAAAGTCTCAATATCTTTCTTGTTTTTTGAGGAAATCCTTTGAAATTTTCAACATAGCCATGCACTAGGATATCCTACAACATGATATATAACAATTTTCATCAAAACACGTGCATGCACGTGTGCTGCAATCTGATTGGCTGAAAATTTAAATAGCTATAACTCCCTTGCTTTTCAACCAAATGGGGTGAGATTTAGAACACAGATAGATGTAATGGACTTCTACAAGAAGGTATGGTCACCATGCACATCCATACACGTGCGTGTACGACCTCTGCAATCTGATTGGCTGAAGTTTTAAATAGCTACAACTCCCTTAGTTTTCAACCAAACAGGATGAGATTTGGAACAAAGATAGATATAATGTACTTCTACAAGAAGGTATGATCAAGATGCACATCAGTACATGTGCGTGTACGTACGCTGCAATCTGATTGGCTGAAACTTTAATCAGCTATAACTCCCTTGGTTTTCAACCAAACGGAGTGGAATTAAGAACAAAGGTAGATGTAATGGACTTCTACAAGAAGGTATGTCACCATGCTCATGTATGCACGTGCGTGCACGTGAAATGAGTAAAATCAAAAATACAATTGAATGAGCATATTTTTTAATGCTTTTGGATTAAATACTTTAATATTTAGTTTATTAAAGTATATATATTGTTAGACAAGATGATATGGTCATTACGCACATGCATTCACATGCTCACGCGTGCAATGCTAAAATTTGAATGAACTTGGTACCCTTCTGGGTAAACGTTGTTAAAGTCTTAAATGCATAGTTTGTCCTATTTAATGAAGCCTCCAGGGAATATGGCACCAAAAGGGAGTTGGGGAGCGTTTGGGGAACATCTGTAACGGTCCCCGTTACAATTAGCACTAGTTATTATTATTATTATTATTTTTCTTCTTCCTGGGAAAATTTTGTCCACGAGTGATCTTGTAAACTACACATCCGACTTAGGTGAAACCTTTTTAGGGTTAGTAGGCATGTTATGTAGAGTTGCCAAACAAAGGTCATTTTGCGCGCACGTGCTTGCAAGAGCACGCACGTGCATTAGGTGAAATTACCAATATAATGAATATTGCCGTAACTTTTCTATTTTTTGATGAAATTTTTTGAAACTCATAATGTAAGGATACATTAGTAGTATAGACAAGATAGCATGGTGAAAATAGCAAGATTTCACGCGCATGCACGTGCGCTTTGCTCTGATTGGCTGAAACTAAAGTATCAATAACTTTCTTGTTTCTTGTCATAATCCTGTGAAATTTTGAACATAGTCCTACATATAATGATCTACCGCATGATATATAAGAATTTTCATGAAAGCATGCGCATGTGCGTGTGCTGCAAGCTGATTGGCTGAAACTTTAAATGACTATATCTCCTTTGTTTTTTGACGAAATTCTTTGAAACTTAAAATATAGTCATGCATTGGGATATCCTACAAAATGATATAGAAAAAAATCATGAAATCATGCGCATGCACGTGAGCTGCAATTTGATTGGCTGAAACTTTAAATTGCTATTTCTCCTTTGTTTTTTGACGAAATTCTTTGAAATTTAAAATATAGTCATGCATTAGGATATCCTACAAAATGATATAAAAAAATCATGAAATCACGCGCATGCACGTGTGCTGCAATCTGATTGGCTGAAACTTTAAATGGCTATAACTCCCTTGTTTTTCAACCAAACAGGATGGGATTTAGAACATAGATAGATGTACGGGACTCCTACAAAAAGGTATGATCATCATGCATGTGCACGCACGTGCGTGCATTTGAAACGAGTATATTTTAAAATACTCTTGAAAGACAAGATGATATGGTCATAACGCACATGCATTCACATGCGCTTGGGTGCAATGCTAAAAATTGAATATAATTAGTATCCTTCTGGAAAAACGTTGTTAAAGTCAAAAATGCACAGAGTTTGTCTTATTAAATGAAACTTACAGGGAATTTGGCACCGAAAGGGAGTTGGGGAGCGTTTGGGGAACATCTGTAACGGTTCCCGTTACAATTAGCACTAGTTTCAATAGTCTTCGCCAACTGACGTCAAACATAAAAGCAGCCGCACGAGATTTAAATGCATATTTGGCCTCCTTAGCGTCAGACACAGAGACAGATGCGCACGAGATTTGCATGCATATTAGACCTCCTTAGCTCCTGACATATCGACCTGCCTTATTCACATTCCGGCAGAATTATCAAGAAATAAACTCCACCAACTTTCAAAGAGTTACCACAGAGAAAAAAATAGAAATGGAAATATTGCTGTTAATTGACAATACGTCGTCGCTATATCTAAATGTTGAGTTGAATGCTTTTTTTTATCACGCATAAGATTTTGGACAATTTTTTTTGATTCATATAAATTCAGAAAATAGGTAAGCTAATAACGGGGCGCAACTGGTATCCATTGAAATTCCGATAATTATACACGGTCTCCAAAAACCACATATTTATTTCCAATCAAAAACTCAAGCATCTTTTAAATGTCAACTTAAAATCTTGTAATACACAATATCAATCAGTCAGTCTTTTTTTCAATAGACTGCAGGATTTATTTGAGGACGTTCCATCCTGAGATTTTGAGAGGATTTGGCCATGTCCTTTATTTATAAAATTCTACATCATTTTTAAATTCTAATATTAAATCTGAATTCTACAATGCAAATTTAACTATATTCAATGAAAAAAACCGCGACTAAATTCCATTCAAGTTGAATTAAACTAGGAACTATATTTTGTGGCGGAAGGTTTTTTAGACGAAAATCATCAGTTTTTCCCTTTGAACTATAACAGTACTCTTTAGTTTGGATTCCTATTTTTCCATGCTGGTTGCACACTAAACTGTTTTTTTGCAGTAAAATATGTCATGCTGGTTCTGAGATATCTATTAAATTATTTCTTATGAATTCTATCAGCAAAGTGTGACAAATATAGTAAATATATTCCGAAAATTCGGGGGGAAATTGAGCCAAACTTAACGTAAAATTGACACTTTTTAGTAAAATCTGAAAATTAACATCATATACCCCAACTTTTCATGTTCTTTTCTAAATATTCAAGATAACTTTGACCTATTTGCTTAAATTCAGAAAAAGTTTAAGACTTTAAAATAATTTTCTTGCTTATTAAATTTTCAATACCAGAAAAATCACATATTATTAGTGCAGAAAGGTCAAATAATTGATTATGCGAAGTAATTTGCAACTTTTTCTTAGTTAAAATTTTAAAGTGTCTTTTTTTAAACAGACTTAGAGTTCATTTGGTTTCTTGCTTTAATTGGATAAAAATATTGCAGGGAAAACGTCGAAGGTGTAATTTTTAATTAAGACACAAATTTCAGTGCAAAAAGGTCATATTAAATGTACTGTAGCGCCAAAAGAACCATTTTTTGATTTGAACTTTAATTAAGCTATGTATGTAGAAACTTAAAATATACTTGGCAAAAAAGTTTAAGACTTTAAATATCAGGATCAAAAGTCGTTAAGTATGTAACCTCATATTTTACCATACTTTCATTTTAGGTATATATGTTTTAAGATTTTTTTAAGCAGATTGTTTGAAATATGCATAAATAAGAACTATTTTTATCACAGTGGGGAGAACATTAAAGCATCAGATAGTCTCTCAAGATTACCGGGTACGTACAAAATTACATTGTTTCCTAAATGTGACTTTTAAATGTGTGCAATGCGACTTTTCTTTCATTTACTTTTTATTTAAGGTCCTAGAGCAGAGATGAGGCAGTGTATGTATTACAAGTCGGAAGGTAATGTTACAGCGGATAGTTCTAGACTTGGTCATGTCAAGGAATGGATGGATAGTCACATATTTCCATCCAATAACACAGTACATGAGAAAGACCTTGGAAATCTCGTGCGCATCTTCTCTGTGTCTGACGCTAAGGAGGCCAAATATGCATTTAAATCTCGTGCGGCTGCCTTTATGTTTGACGTCAGTTGGCGAAGACTATTGAAATTAGCATGGAAGTCCTCATGTCATTTAAACTCTCTATATATTGAGCTGAACAGTTTGTCTGTGCAACTCTTCATAAGCTGCACATAATTTCGTCAAACTTTGCAGGTATTTAGGACACAATTTGTAAATGTGCATATTACCAGGAAATTCCAATTCCTTTATTTTTTCCGGGAATTTCCGCACTTTTTAACTTAGGCATTTGGCCATACCTTTTATATAGAGATGAATACTTTGTCAGCGCAACTCCTCATAAACCACAGCACAGAATTTCGTCAAAATTTGCAGACACAAATTTAGGACACAATGTGTAGATGTGCATATTATCAGGAAATTCTGATTCCTTTATTTTTTCTTTGAATTACCACACTTTTCAAATTAGATTTTTGGCCATACCTTAAATATAGAGATGAACATTTTGTCAGCGCAACTCCTCATAAACCGCTGCACAGACTTTCGTCAAACTTTAAAGATATTTAGGACACAGTGTGTAGATGTGCATATTACCAGGAAAATCCGATTTCTTTATTTTTCTCGGAACATTTTGTCAGCGCAACCCCTCATAAATCGCTACAAAGAATTTCGTCAGACATTGCATACATTTAGGACACAATGTATAAATGTGCATTTTACCAGGAAATTCTTATTCCTTTATTTTTCTGGGAATTTCGACACTTTACAACTTAGATTTTTGGGGATATCTTGAATATAGTGGTGAACAGTTTGTCAGCACCACTCCTCATAAACCGCTGCACACAATTTCGTCAAACTTTGCAGATATTTAGGATACAATTTGTAGATGTGCAGATTACCGGGAAATTCCGATTTTTTTATTTTTTTTTTCGGGATTTTCAGCACTTTGAGTTTTGGGGGAGCGTGGGGTATGTGAGCTTGCTTACTTTTTCTTTCATATCAAAATGCAGGGAAATCTTTCTTTTTCTCTTGAAAATAATCAATTCAAAAGGTCACAAAAAATTAATACTCACCATAGATCTAATGAATTCAAGGTAAAAGATATAAGAAAAAAGTATTTAATTTCAGTGTTATTGCTTTTTCCCTAATCATGACAAGGAGCACACGGTGGATGTACCGGTCAGCAGGGGATGCTCACTCCTCAATGGCACCTGTTCCCAACTATTTGCCCTGCTCCTATTTTATATTGATTTATTGACTTTGATATTGAATATATTATTGTTCATTCTCTCCATATCCTTCGTTTATGCAGTTGTTGCTATCGAAGTTAATTTTGTTATAGACTAGTCATTGTGTAAATTTAAATTTGATGTTATATTAATTCAATCAGCGCCCAGTATGAAGAGCTAAATCAGAATAAACGTGAACAGGAAAACAGTTATGATGCTATTCAAACACCAAACAGTATGGGTAATTCTATCACTACAGACTTTGCTAATATATTCAAAATTGTTTTGATTTCATGTTAATCAGTTGTCAAAATATTACTTGAATTGTCTTATTTCATTTTAGAAAACAGAATTTCCGGGTAAGTATTTCTCAGAGTTAATGTCAATAATGAGTAAACCAAAAGAAAATCGTGATTATAAAAAGCTCAGAAGTCTAGTATGATTAAATATGATTTGTTATTACTTATTATAACCGGACTCATTGCTCATAGAGCAATGCCCGGCTTTTGCTACGGTGATCAACCGGAAATGCCACTTAATCAAATTTACGCGTTAGAATATAGTACGTTTGCGCAATCACATTTGAGGCGATACAAATACTAAATTAAATTTTCAAAGTTATCTAAACATGTCAAAAAAAATTATAAAAATATACTTTCTACCGTTGTCTTCGATTGAATATGTGTTTAAAATATGCAAAAGGTTTTCATCAGGTATCCCTGTCTGCGTCATATTCTATAAATAAAGGTTATGCTATCAGGCTAACACAAATGCGGGGAATATCATAAATGACTTGGTGTACGCTTTGATGCAAAAATTCCCACCGAGGACACCTCTGTGCATCTTTGTTTGACCTTAATTAACCTTGCTGCATTAGTATTTATTTACTTCTGTTGGTATATAAAACCCCAAAACGATACATATTATAGATATTTTACGCTGTTAAATTCTAGCTACATTTTATTTTTTTTTTTTTTTAAACTATTTAATACGTATATGTTGGTAAACTTTTCCAAAGTACCATGAGATTTGGTGCTGAGCGAAGCGAAGGACCAAATCGAATGGCGAGGGAAAAGTTTAACAACATACTTAGTACATGCTTCACACGAGAAATTAAGCCCTTTGTGTCTCTGTCTATCTAATTACAAATCTTTGTATGTTTATGATTATTCAATCAAAATGAGGATAGTTTGACCCTTGCTGTTGCCATTTTGTACAGGCCTAGATGTGATAATTATACCCTCAGCTCGGGGTAATATATGTGAGTAGTTTTCAAACACAATACAGGTTCATTTCTATAGATTCAAAACTCTCTGTACGAAGATAGTCATGCCATTTTGATGGATTTAAGTCTGTAGCATTTTATATTTGTGGACATTATTAAACAATTGTGTTTAATGGTAAAACTGATGAATTTCTCTAGAAAGCAAAGAATTCCACGGAAAACGAAAAGCAGGAAAAGAAAAGGTTACAGTTGGATAAACATATGAATATAGTACGGTTCCAATGTATTTGAACTTCTTTAAAAAGTTCATATTTAGACTTTTTGTTTTTTCCCAATCAGTCCATATCTGTTTAATTGGTATCCAAGAATAAATTAAATATTAAGTACAATTTTATTGTTCTCGATGCAATAATTCTGTTCAAAGTAACAATATAAATGGTAAATCCAAAATATTCAATCAATTACTAGACATTTTTAAAAATTCTTTTACTTTTGATTTTAATTAAATGTTTCAATTTTGGCTAAGGTTGAATAATTCAGGAATAAAGACAGGGAAAGAGATAGAAATATGTCCTCCTTTACTAATTTATGTAGCTATGTAGATTTTTTTACCATGTAGCACATCAGGACCTTTATTCATTGTCTGGTGATCTTGTCCTGTGTCCATGATTGTAATTACTTTTCATTGGTAATAATTTGCTCAATAATTATGCACACAAAGGCAGAGTCACCCAACCATGAAGCTTGGGCTTGGGGTGTACCAAGTGATTTGGTAGCAGCAAAAATCTTTTGTTCGAGGTGTGAAACATGTACTAATGTATTTTTTAATGCAATTTCTTTTTTATGTTAATGCAGTATTTTGTTACTGTAGGGTAATTTTTGATAATGACTAGTCATTGTGTTAATTTAAATTATTTAATACTATTAAATTAATTTATTCAGCGCCCAGTATGAAGAGCTAAATCAGAATATACGTGAACAGGAAAACAGTTATGATGCTATTCAAACACCAAACAGTATGGACAATTCTATCACTAAAGACTTTGCTAATAAATCTATTCAAAATTCTTTAAACTTGATATCATATTAATCAGTTGTCAAAATATTACTTGAATTGTCTTATTTCATTTTAGAAAACAGAATTTCCGGGTAAGTAGTTCTCAAAGTTAAAGTCTATAATTAGTAAACCAAAAGAAAATCCTATTAAAAAAATTCAAAAGCCTTGTATGTTAAAATATGATTTGTGACGCAACATTGTTTTCGAACATTACAGTTCAACATATGAAGATTTGCAACCTCAGAAAGAAGAAAACAAGTATGAAAAATTTACAAGTCATAAAGGTATCTTATTTTTACTAAAAATATTGAAAATCAATAATGAAAGCAAAACTCTTGAATCTGTAAACTTCATTGAAAATTTAAAAACACTAGTATGTTTTGCAAGATGTATTAATTCAAATTATATAAATGTTCTTTTCATGGTATATGAAAAAGAATGGTTGCAACACAGCAAAAAAATATCCTGCATTTACGAGTTAATTTGTTATTTTCTTTTATCATTGCAGCTGTTTTTATACAATCTTAATTTTATGAGGGGGCTAGCATAATGTGAAATGTATTTATCATTACAAAACCAATAAAATAAAAAAAACTTTCCGTTTAATAAAATCATGTTTTAGAGACCTACGTGCAGAATTTCTTTAAATGGCCCGTAAAAATTAAACTTTTTAATGTCATCATAAGGAATTGGAGTAGGTGTATCATCCATCCACCATAGCGACAAGAAACACTGATACTTGTGAAAAGATAAATATAATCTACTGAATGTTTTTAAAAATAATTTAAAAAGTGGAAGAATTAAATGTGAATGAAATATTCAGGCAACAAGGTAACTTTTGTTGACTTTTCCTACTACATAATTTTAAGAAACATTTAAAAGCACTGGTGACGTTTATTTACGGATCGATTATCTTTTTATGCGTATCTATAATCTAGGCATAATGCATATCATCGGAAGTTCAATGTCCACGAATTTTTTTTTATCTAAGATAGTAAAAAAGTTCTGTCGATCTCCAAAATGAAATTTTTAAATTTTTAAATTTCTTGCTTAGGGGGCCAAATGTTGCAAATTTTAAGAACATTTACTTTAATATATGCAATGTTTATTAACTTTCCTGAACAAAAGGATCCACAAATAATTTATTCAATTTGTAGGTGGAAAAGACAGTGTATATGCGAATTCGAAGATGCTATCCCAAGGAAATGTATATGTGAATACTATTTTTTAATTCTAATATTTTTTATTGTAAAGAGTAAAGAATCAATCACTAATATTTATGATCGCCATAGTCAGAGTTTACAGAAAATTTTATATCTGCCTTATAAATTAATTTTGTGTGTTTGTTGTTATTGTTTGTGTGTCTGTTTTTTTTTTTTTTTTTTTTTTTTTTTTTTGTTGTTGTTGTTTTTTTTTTATTGTTTTGTTTTTTTTTTTTTTTGACAAAGATATTGTATGTGCGATAAACAACTTTTGCTTTTGTTTAGTCATATTTTTTATATCATTCTGTCAAAAAAAAAAAGATTCATCTATGAAAATCGATGTACACTTACGTTGAAAAACTGTTCTTTAAACTTTTTAAAGAATATATACAAGTAATTATATACAGTGTATATATTATTTAAGTAGACTGCACTTTTAGTGTTTACTTTTATTACAAAGTGAAAGTTGTCAATTTTACAATGGTTGTGGTATTTTCTGATCATACCAACTTAATTTTTGATACAAATGACTAAGAATGACATATATTATTTCCCACAACCATGTGCAAACGATGTGTAAGGGATAGAATTTTTCAAGGTATGTCCTTATATTATTACTTGGTAATCTATTATTTACTCATTATAGGAGGCATTGAAATCAATCCAGGTCCTACTTTGAACTCCAATATAAAAATTATACATAATAATGTGTGTAGCATTCTCCCTAAAATTGACATTATATATAATGAACTATGTGATTATGATATTGTTGCTATTACTGAAAGTCATTTAGACCAATTTATAACTGACAATGATATTGAACTTGAAGGATTTCAAGCACCCGTTAGACTTGATCGTAACAGGTATGGAGGTGGTGTTATGATCTATGTTAAAAGTAACCTCAGTTTCAAGAAACGAAAAGATATCCTTACTTCAAATATTGAAATTATATGGATTGAGATTGAAAATGGTAATCACAAATTCTTAGTTGGTGTAATATATAGACCACCTAGTGCAAAAGCAGACTTTGTAAACCAACTTGCACTATCTATTGAAAGTGCTTTGAATGCTGAATTACCAATATTTCTATTGGGCGATTTTAATTTTTATATGTTAGCTGATGGTAACAATGCATTTAAAAACATGTTGCAAAATTTTTCTTTATCAAATGTTGTTACAAAACCAACAAATTTTTCAAGATCAAAAGGTACATGTAGTGATCTTATTATTACCAATGCTGTTGAAAACATAGAAACTGTAAATATCTTAACACCTTTTTGTAACACTCATAGTCCAGTTCTTGTTGATCTACATTTTAGAACATTTAAGCAACACTCATATAAAAGATACATAAGAAATTATACAAATGCTAACTACTCACAACTATGCACAGATTTGTCAAATGTTGATTGGGATAGAGAGGTATTTAATACACATAATATTAATGACATATATGATAACTTTATGAAGATATATAACCATTATGTTGACAAAAATATACCTAAAAAAGTAGTGACAATTAGACCATCAGATAAACCATTTATGACAGGTGCTATTAGATGTAAGATGCGACAGAGAAATAGAGTACATTATAAAGCAAAAGCAAATAATAATGAATATCAATGGAGTAGATACCGTCATTTAAGGAATGAAGTAATAAGTATGGTACGTAAATCAAAACAAGTCTATAAAGAAAAGATTACCTCACAAATATTAGATAGAACAATACCACCTGGCAAATGGTGGCGAATTGTAAAGTCTATTACTAAATTTTCTAAAAAAAACAAACTAAACCCCCACCAATAAATCCAATGGTAGAATTTATATACACCCAATTGAAAAAGCTTATATAACTAGAAACGATCTCGTTGCGAGCAACAAGAGGTCTTTCGTCTGATTCCAAAAAATAACCCTCAAATCGAGCTGAAAATCTATTAAACATTTTTTTTTTGGACACACTGGTAATTGAAACGGGTCACTAGCGTGAAAATCTGATACGCTTATCGATTACGCTATTTAAACAACTTCTCTAAATTCACTTGTATGTACATGTAATTCTGCAACAGTTAATATGTCTTGGGATTATGAATGGAGGGTCACTTTTCATAATTTCGCGCCAAACGCCACGAGTAAATCTTAGCACCTTTCCCTTGGAATGTTCTATTAAAAAGGTGAGATGGTTATTTATTATTATTTTTTTTTTTTAGAATTTTCCTGTTAATCACAAAAGTGGATTATTCCGATTACCTACACTTTCATGAAAAAGGTGGTGTATTTCACCGAAAAAAATGCTTAGATCGCCCTACGAGGGTCAAGGAATAAGATTCAATTATGTTCAATAACTTGCATTAAGAAAAAATGTCTCTATGAAGTCAATTAAACGGTCTTTTAAAACTAGTTGTCTTTTTTTTAAATTCTTATTGTAACAGTTGTCTTTTCTATTAATTTAATATGACACAAGTGTGCATGGGAAAAACAGTGGTCATGTTTTATACTTACTGTATATATTGTATCTTAAAAAACTATTACTTATGACTACATGTACAATTTGAGCTATGTGTTTCCGTGATGCAAAACAAAAGATAGTAGGTATTGTACTTAATTTTCATATTAATTCTTTCTATTTCTAATTGAGAAACAACTAAAACCAATTAAAGAAGACATGTAAGGAGGCCTTGAATTATTAATGTAGGTTGACACAGAATTGCAACGAACCTACGACGGGACAATCCAAGTATTCCTTCATATTTCATTGCTCCTTATGTTATTTTCGTTCAAGCAAACGCTCAGCTGCCTCTGTAAACCCCTATTGCGAAATGTCGGAGTTGACAGAGACCGCCGCCATTTTGGTCCAGCTTCAAATTTTTGATTGTTAATATCTCGAGTTTGGATTTAGCCTAATTGAAAAGCTTTCTATTCACCATTTTAATATAATTCAAAAATATTGAAAAACAAAAAAGTTTAAAAATTCGACTTTTTAAATTCGCCTGCAGTAATGACAGGAAGAAGGGACGAGGTACAAAAGATTGCGTCCTGGATAGTACTTATCACGATCTATAATCCCTGAAAGTTTCACAGTGATATTTGTTACCGTTCTTGAGATTAACCGCAGACAAAATGTCATTTTAAAATCAGAAAATTGTCTGTAACTTGGCACCAGACAGGAATTTTCAAAAAATCTCTCGGATAAAATAACTTCAGATAAGAACACATTGTTCCTGCAAATTTCATGAAAATCCATCCAGTAGTCTTTGAGAAATCGCGTGCACAAAATTAGATGTACGGAAAAATAATAATAATAAGAAACGGTAGAATGACTATAAGGTCTTCCGTGAAGACGGAAGACCTTAATTAATAAACACTTTGCAGAAATATCACATATTGATGTCAGCACAGAATCCCAACTACCCCCTCAAGGGCCAGGTCCACCATATTCAATAAACACAATTCATATTACAAACCAAGAAGTGGAGGATCAATTACATAATATCAACCCATCTAACCCCCCAGGACCAGATGATATTTCTCCACATATACTGAAAAATATAATTTCGTCTATCACTGCACCCCTAGCAAAATTGTTTAATGCATCATTAACCAGCAAACAGCTTCCCCATATATGGAAACTATCAAATATTACACCAGTTTATAAAAATAAAGGTAGTCCCGAAGAACAAGGAAACTACAGACCTATTGCTTTGACTAGTAGTCTCTGTAAGATTGTGGAAAAAATCATTTTCAAACATCTCCAAAACTATATGATGGATCATAATCTTTTATCCAAGAATCAGTCTGGATTCCAACCTGGGGACTCCACCGTAAATCAGCTTCTAGAAATATACAATACTATTATAAGCAATTTAGACCAAGGCAAAGATGTAAGATTTGTTTTCTGTGATATATCAAAAGCAATTGATAAGGTCTGGCATAAGGGGTTATTATTTCAGCTTAAGCAGAATGGTGTTGTCGGAAATATATTGGATTGGATTGAAAACTATCTTACTGATCGTGAACAAAAAGTTTTATTAGAAGGGTACTCCTCAGTTAGAGAAAGTATAAATGCAGGGGTCCCACAAGGTTCGGTATTAGGACCATTCCTCTTTTTGATATATATTAATGACATAACTGAAGATTTAGAAAATCAAATTAGGTTATTTGCAGATGATACTTGTAGACTCTGATACACAAGCCCCTGCCGTCTCTTTAATTAATGACTTGGAAAAAATTAAACAGTGGTCCAGACAATGGATGGTAGACTTTAACCCTAGCAAAACTGTAAATGTTAATTTTACCCGGTCAAATAAAGCTCATCCACAAATCTCATTTGGTTATGTAAATAGTTACATAGAACAACAGCAAAGTCACTGCCACCTTGGACTTATACCACAATCCAATGGTGGTTGGTCAGAACATATATCCAAAATATATGATAAAGCATGTCAACGTTTAAATATTCTTCGCACCCTTAAATACAAATTAAACAGAGATTCCCTTATTAGTATTTATATGCTTTTATAAGGCCAATTTTAGAACATGGAAATGTAGTATGGGATAATTGCACACAGGAAAAGAGTAATCTATTTTAGAGTGTGCAAATAGAGGCTGAACGTATCATTACTGGGTTAAGGCGCAATTCTTCAAAACAAAAATTGTATAATGAATTAGGATGGCAAACGCTTAGTGAAAGAAGAACTAAACATAAGCTTACACTTATGTACAAAATACTTAATGATTATACACCTGAATATTTGCAAGAAATGGTCAATCAATGCCTACCTGTTTCACATAATTACGCGTTACGCAATAATTCGTATCACTTACCAATCACTAGAACAGTTGCATACTACAATAGTTTTTTTTACCATCTACAATTAAATTATGGAATGATTTGCCAGATAGCTTAAAATCTGTAACAAGTATAGCAAAGTTTAAACAGTGTATGCAAAATAAAAATCTTGAAGATAAAACAAAATCCAAATTATACAATTATGGACAAAGAAAATTAAATATACTCCCCTG